GGCCTGATTTCTCATGGTGGTTCCGAAAAGGGCAGATCGAAGTCTAAGTTTAGTAATCAAATTTGTAACTACTGCAAGAAGAAGGGATACTTAAAGAAGGATTGCTACAAATTGCAGAATAAAGAAAGGATGGCTACAAGTAGATATTCAGATACTTCAGGTGAAGCAGACCTCACGGAGAACGTTGTAAATGATGGAGATCTCTTAACTATTTCTGACATTGAGTCTAAATCGAAAAATAATTGGATTCTTGATTCAGCATGTGTGTTTCATATGTGTCATAATATGGACTTGTTTACTGCATATGAAACTGTTTCCAAATGTGTCGTGGTTATGGAAAGCAACGCATCTTGTCGGGTTACTGGAATTGGTACAGTCAAATTGAAGCTTTTGGATAGAACAATTAGAACACTTGGCTAGGTTCGACATGTTCCAGATTTGAAGAAGAATCCCATCTCATTGTCTATTTTTGATTCAAAACGTTATGAGTTATTTGGTGGAGGTAGAGTTTTGAAGGTTTGTAAGGGTGCCCAAATTGTATTGGAGGGACAAAAAAGGTCTCAATTATACATCTTGTAGGGTAGTGCAGAAATTAGAATAGTCAATCAGCACATGTTCAATATCGTGGTGGAATTCAGTTCGGTACAATACCTTTAGGAGCTCGTAAATGGTTGGATTTGAAGAATATTGCTCGGTGGAGTTTAGAAGATATGGATAATGTCGCTTTGACACTATCACCTGTGGTGCCATTGTATTCAGTTGCTAGAGACGGACCCAGTGGAATAGAGTATGTGGATGCTAATTTTGTTGAATATGCTTTAAGTGGAGTAGAATGTGTACAATCTAGTAATGAACATTCTTTAAAAGCATTTGTGTTTAATTATGCTTTGGGGTGTGTTATAACCCAATTTGGTAAATTATAAAATCATTATATTTTTTGAGAATTTGCCACAATTCTACAAGAGTAGTGTTTGGATTCATTGGAAGATGTGGAATATTGTGTTTTGTTGGATAAATTAATTTTCTGGTTATTGTTGAAGAAGTCAGTTCATTTTTTGGTGGAATTCATGTCAAGGTGGAGATTGTTAGAATTTGTGTGTGACTCGAATTCCTTGTTGAAGTAATTGAAAAATTCTAATTGAAGTGTACATAAAAAAGAATTCAGTTTGGAATACTATTGGAGTCTTATATCAAGTTGAAATTTTATTTTGGAAGCCCATTGAGAATTGTAATTTGTTTTGGACTCGATTTTTTGGTATTATACTTCATCAACAACTCTATTAGGAGGGTTTTGACATATTAGGCTTTTCTATACAATTTTATGGTGTGGGAAAATAGATTACTGGAATTATAGGATTTACTGTAATTTTTCTCATTTTTGAGTTAATAAAATCTCTTAATTCCTCTACAATATTCTTGTCTTTATTATTTTTTACTTGATCATATATTTCATTATTATTTGCCATATAATTTCAACATCTCAATCCGATAATTTGTGTCACAACAAGTAGTATCGGAGCAATTTTGATATCTTTTTTGTTTTACATCAGTTGTTCGATTAAAGTCAAAGTTCACTATTCGAAGCAAAATATCTAAATTAGAATATTAAATAGCATCAAGTGTATGGAAGTCGTAATGAAACAATACGATAGTAATCATAAAGGCAATACAAGTGGAAAAATTAAATTAAATAATGACAAAAAGAAATTAATAGAATCTTATGTGATTTGGGAATAGAATTTTTTTCCCCATTAATACAATCTTTCAACCTCTATCTCGCGAAATATTAAGAGCATGTTTGGCTAAGATTATAGGTAACTTAAACTTTTGAATTAATTTGAATTTATAAACATGTGTTGATATGTTACTTTATATTTTCAAAAATGTTTGGATAAAAATGGAAAGAAATACTTTGGAAATAAATAACTTACTTATTTCCTACTTTGACAAAAATAACTATTAATTTTAAAATTTTACTTATTATAGGTAAACTTATAAGAAATTTTAGGTTCGAATAAGTTTGTTCAGAGTTAAAGAAATCACACGTTCCACTAAAAAAAAAAAAAATTTGTATGTTCCTAAATTCAAAATTCGTTAAATTTTTTTTTATAAAACTGATACGTCTAAAGTATTTAACAGAAAAAATCATAAATAAAAAGAATTCAACTTTTACTTCATAAGGCATATTGAAATTTAATATATATATTATTAACTATTTAAATAACGTAAATTTACGTTTAAACATTCTTGCAAATGACAAAATCCAGTGTTTCAAAATAATGCTCCAAAAAAATTGACTTGCTGACATGCATATGTCTGCAAGTTAGGCAAAGAAAAAAAATTCTTATACAGCAAGATAAAAATATTTGTATTAGTGTATTTCTACGTGTAAGATCCTACACGTCATGCAGCACAATTTTGTACTATAATCTACCCACCTATAAAGTAAATTTGCCACTATGCATTATGATAATATTATAATCTTATTACGTGCTAATTACGCGATACTAAAAATATAATGAACAATATTATGATTAACTTATTTTTCTTCTTTAGTAGTGTTTGTTATCGTTCAATCTTGTTTGTCAAACATGTAGTTAGTGTTCTTTTGATACACATTATTAAAATGTATTGAATTGCATGATTATTCTTCTTTAATGCCATACGGTACTGTTTGTTGAGAGAATGCGAATTAAGTCTCACATCGGTTAGACATGGGATAAATGATGAACTTACATGACAGTGGCCTCCACCTAATAGGTTAATCTTTTACGACGTAAACCCAGTTATCAACAAGTGATATCAGAGTTAGTACCCAAGTTTAGCCACGTAGAAATACAAGATGATCTCAATTAGTTGTATACTAATGTCTGTAATGGGCTCTAATTTGGACTGCGATGGCCGAAAAAATTCATGGTTGGCTCTTAAGGTGGTCGTGACCCCTGTTGTATTAGAAGCGTTGAGCTTAATCTTTCTAGATTTGAGGAATAGAAATGGACAAATTATAGCTAAAACGGTGGTAAGATGATATTGTACTTCGTTCAAAGGGAGAATTAGTGGAAGAGTGCGAACAAAATCCGACATCAATAATTAGCCATAGGGTAAATGATGAATTTATAAGAGATTTTGCTACTTCGCTTAACATGTTAACTTTTTAGGATGAAGCCTACTTTTCAACATTGTCTAGTTTACCCTACAAAATACGTCGTCATGGCATACCAGTAGCATGTTTGGCAAGTAATTAAATTGGTAGCATTGAGTTATATGAAAGAAGAAAAACAATTTAGAATATTGTTCTCTAAACTGTACAGTACCAAATGTCCATCTTTTGCAATGCTTTAAGCATAGTGTGGGATAATCTTAATTTAATTGTATTTTACAATATTATTTAATTGTCTTATTCAATTCAAAGTATAGGAATTGTTAGAAATGGAAGCATTATAAGCACACTAGCTTTTATGCGATAGTTGAGCCAGCTTTTCAAATAATATATACTGTTCATTTATGTGAGGTTCATTTTTAACTTTGTAAGTGATGTGCGCATTTGATTTTTTTAACTTTGCAAGCACAGTTTGTTGTTAAGTTTAATTTTTGAAAAACCAATTTGGAAAAGCATGCAAAAAGATTAGTGGATTTTCATTCATGACCTAATTTTCACAAATTAATTATGATGTAAACGATTTTTCTGATAGTGATGGATTTTAAAGGTATGTGGGTTGTTATTCTAGAATATGACAGGTATTTAATTTTCTAAATACAAATTGATTATATGATGATTTTAATTTTAAAAGGACTTTCCACTTTAGGCTAAAGTCACTAGCATTGTATAGAATTAGGAATTTTTTTTTATTTGGAGAATAACCTAAATTTAGGTCATTTTGCTCTAAACAAGTTTTAATCTAATATAATTAAGACTCTTCTATTTGTTGATAATGAATCTTGGTCGATTGATATCACAAAACGTATTCGGAGAAAGATAAACGTGGGGGATTCTCGACTCCAATGATAGTTTTCAACTCTAAGAAATCTAACTCAAGCACGAAATCGGCGATGGGACACCGATCATCGAGAGGGCTACAACCAACCAAGATCGAGACCAAACCCGTTCTCGATTCATTGAGCAAAACCTAGCTAGGGTATATAACTAAGCATTGGAATGTGGAGTGATGTTATACTAGTGGGAAATTTTATTTAATACTTCATTTAATTTTTTGATTTGACTTTAAAACTAACAAAAGGTGACTGTAATTTAATTCAAGCTGATTATCATGAAATCATAAATAAGTTATCTTATAGTTTCCCTTTGGATTATGCTTTAAGAAGAAAGAACAGAAATAGGTTTATGGTGGAGTGCAAACTGATGTTATGGTTTTAGGTTATGCAGATGTCATTGTTGGATTTTAGGTAGTGTGTACATGCTTTATCTGATCTCTTATTAAAGCCATTAGTGCCATAAAGAAAATGCAAAATCTTGATGTCAAGCTTACCTACCTAAAATACTTTCTTCCCTGTACGATACGATCATCCGAATGCACAAATATTTAATAAATTCCAAGCAACCTGAGATGGCCATATATATGTGTGTGCTTGACTAGAAACCAATCATATATAACAACCTAGCCAAAGAAACGCTTTGATTGTGAAAGTTGAATTCTGCATAAGACAACACATCAACTGTATTCAGCTGTTCCTTTCATAAGCTACCTAGTATAAATAATCCTAGTACTTAGCATTTCACCTAGACAAGGTTGCTTTCAATTTGTCTGATTTCGTAAAGATGGTTAAGGAAAGTAAACAGTCTGGAGGATTGGAATGGAGGATTAACGTCCCGAATGAAAATACTTCTGAAGTTTTAGCGCCTGAGACAAAGTCTCAAATCCGAGTTTGCAATGGATTACGAGGTTTAATTGTGGGGTTCGTGTCAAGAATTTGGAAATTTCTTGAAAAGGCTTGGAGTTTAGCTGTTAGAGAGCCTAAGAAAGCTATTCATGGCCTTAAAGTAGGGATGGCTCTTTCTATCATCTCTCTCTTCTATTACATGAGGCCTTTGTATAATGGAGTCGGAGGGAATGCTATGTGGGCTGTTATGACTGTAGTCGTCGTATTCGAATACACTGTGGGTAAGTATTCAAAATGTTTTTGGCACACAGTATTAGATAGTAGTGGACATGACGACGTACAAGATTTTAATTCCTTTTTTCTTAATATTGCAGGGGCTACACTCTGTAAATGTGTGAATAGAGCTATAGG